AACTTTGGAAATTACTGAATGTAGTTGATCATAAAAGTCATCAGTTTCCATCACAGGGGTGTTCATGATTGGGGCATAACAGCTCAGAAGAGTGGCAGAAGAATTGTTGTTGAGTTCTAAGATTAGAGTCATAATGCAATCATTTATTCTTTTCGTAAGAGATTACAGGGATTTAGTAATGTCTGATTTTATGGCAAAGCCTACACCTGATCTTCTTTGCAGGTATATCCTGCACTAAATTCCTCAAGTTGAGAGGTGCCTGCAAAACAATTCTCACCGAGAGCAGCAATGTCAATTGTGCTTCCTTAATTCATCAGCAATGAGAGCTGTTTTACGCTCTGGAGAATTGTTGTCTTGGAGGGACCTTACATTCCAAGACACAAGGTTAACACATTTACGAGTTTTATTTCTACTAAATAGATTATTATTGTGACTGCATTATTTTATATATATATATATATATATATATATATATATATATATATATATATATACAGACACATTGATAGGATAGGATGTTGGATTTAACCATGTCAAAGAACTTTGGGTAATTTATCTGAACCTTATTAATTTTCCATGAATTTAAGTTGGTTATTTTTTATAAAAGATGAAAACCTTTTGTTGGGTTTCATAATTTTCTGTATTTTTTGGGATTGCTTTTTGACATTACCGTTTCTGATTGTGTATTTTACTGTTTACATTCATAGATGCATATATATGTCTATAAACCATATATATATATATACACACACTATTTATATTTTATTGAGGATTTTTATTTTTGAGAAAATGTATATTTTTTTCTGTGTCTTTATTTTTGAATATTTCTTTTAAATCTTTTCCATTGAGATATTTCTGTCTTATTCTAGTTATGATTTTGCATTCTGATAGAATATGTCTTATTGTGATTAGGCTTCCACATTTACATTTTGGTGGATTTGTCTTTTTTAATATGTGAGAATGAGTTAAATATGTGTGTCCTATAACAGACACATATAATCATAGAATATTTTCAAACTGAAAAAAGGGAAAATACATGATGTCTGAAATCTGTTTCTGTTATATATATATAAAACTTTTTGTGGTAAAATCAAGTTAACAAAATAGCGAGTAAAAATAAAAACAAAAAATAGTTGCCAAGTTTCGTCTTAATGTTAAATTTTATGAAGTCAAATTTTCTGTAAGGGTTTTCTAATAAGCCAATACGCCAAACATGAAATGAAATTGTTGTAAACAAGAAAAATGAATGAAGATTTTTTTTTTTATAAATAAATTTGTTTCTTATCTAGGGAATGCACCTAAATTAGATATTACGAATAATTAAAATAGTTCTAAATTTCACTTATAAAATGTATATATTTCCAGATATATGAATTTCCAGTGTAAAATTCTTTGTTTTCTACAAATAAAATTATGTTTCTATATAGTGAAAACACCTAAAATTAGATATTAAAAAAAAAAAAAAGGAAAGTTTTAATCTGTTTTAAAATGTGTATATTTTCAAAAGTGCAAGTCATTTTTTTTAAAACCCAAAGTAAAAATTATTTTTTCTTAAAAGAACATTCAAATTATTGAAATTAGTTTCAATAATTTGAATGTTCTTTTACCACACATTTATTACTATCATTAAACCATATTATATATATATATATATATATATATATATATATATATATGCCCTCCTGACTTTATAGTTTTTGAAGGAATTCAATTTTCTTTTCTTTCCAGCCATATGAATATTTTTGAGATTGGACCAGAAATACACAAGAATTTGCGAGTTGAATGTACTAAGTTGCAAATTCATCAATCTCAAACGAAATCAAATATCAACTGGAAATGATATCATTACACAATAAAATGAATGGCTTCCTTAGAAAGCAAAAATACTAAATTAAAAAACAAAAAATGGAATCAAAAACTCAGTTATCAAGGAATAAAAAAACTGGAAACTGATGCAGAAGCAAATTACCAAAGCAACCAACTCTACCATATATATATATATATACACACACACACACATATATATGTAAAGAATCCATGAGTAAGTAATTGAAGTAGATCCTATTAATATAAAATATTAAAACGGATACATAAAAGAGAGCTCAATATAATTTTTATTATAGAGCATATAACTGAATTACAATTAATGAGATCCAAACAATTCACTTATGATCATTTCATCCATGGGAAAGTAGTTTTTCCCTGGACTTATCAATACGAATACATATACTAAAATCCTACATTTCTTCACAGGAAATTTGAAAGGTAAAGGAAGAAAAGAAAGAAAAAAAGAAAAAGGAAAGAATAAAAGGAGAGTGTAAGAATTGGTCTATAATAGAGGAAGGAGTTACATAGATATAGAGGTGTACTGGACCTAAGGTAGTTGTGGTGGAGTCTGGTACAGATAAACTTCGCAGTTGAAAATGGACACTGACATAAATGTAACCTATCAACACCTGTGCAAGGAAAAAAAAAAAAAAAAAAATTAAAAAGGCCATAAAATTTTTTTTAGAGAGGAGCTTAAAATTATTATAGAATGGAGATAAGAATTAATACTTTTTTTTAAAAGTTGTTAATATAAATCCATTCAATACATCTTTCACCATATATAAAAGTTACAGTAAAAACATTTAAGTAAATTATTAATATATTAATTTCATTTAAATATAACCAGTCTTATATCAATATTAATAAATTTTCAAATACTAAGTTTATAATTTAAATTATATCATACTTATACTATTTAATAGCTGGCCACTCGTATTCAAAGATACCCATCTACTAGGGCGGCTAGCCAATCCCTATTACAGATGCTCGCTCAGACACATTTTTGTTTGCTCAACATCCATAGAACCCAACTGTGGTTTATACTGCAACTACGCTGAGCAGACCTCAGTTACAATTTCTGGGAGACAGCGTGTTATCTAGTGTGATCAACAATTTGAACAAGGTCTACACGCTCACGCCCTCAATGACTTGTGACTTCATGCTAGCACAGCTATCAACAGCCCCCAAGAATTCCATCTGCCCAATTTTACTCACAAGATTGGGTCAACCCATGATCTGGATTTCAGGCACTTTCAAAAGGTGCAGCACACTGGGATCGATTCCGATCCAGTCCGATAGCATCAGAAAGCCAAATCGACCATGCTGAGATTTAAACCTGGGTCTCATGTCAGAAAGTGAATGTTCTAACCACTTGGCCATGTGCCCATATATACATACATATATATTATATGCACACACTCCCCTCTTATTCATTTCCATCTGGCACACAAAATTCTTTTGCTAACCCTACTAGAATGACAGCTTTAGTATACATATGACAGAACTCAAGTGTAACAGGTGAGAATGTAAATCTATAAAAAAAAAAAAAAAAAAAAAACAACAACTAATAAAAAAAAGTATGAAAAAGCAGTTCAAAACAACATTAGGCACAAAAATTAAAATGAAAGAAAACAAGAAATAATATGTTTTGTGTTCTTTTTTTAAATAATTTAAAGTGTAATAAATTTTTTTAGCAAAATGGAATAAATTACCTGCTGGTCTGTCCCATTCAGGTCGAGGTGGTGCTAGTCTGGGATCTGGAGGTGGTGGACCACGTTGTGGAGGTGCAACTGGTCGAGGTGGCTAGTAAAAAAGTAAAACAATGGAAACATCAATCCCTAATATATGAAAACTATAATTTCGAAAATAGCTTTTTACTTTCTTGCTCAATTTGAATCTTAAGAGCAAAGCTTGTTGATTTCAATGATATTTATTTAGAATTATCATTATATATGTGTATTGATTTAGAAAGCAAATCTGACTGCTACAAATACTTGACTCCCAAAGCTGCAGAAGCAGAAACTCAGATTGGTACTGCAAAGTAATGTGTGTGTGTGTGTGAGTGAGAGGAAAAGAACAACAGGGTAAAACAAAAGAACTTACTATTCCTGGAGGTGGACCTCCTGGTTGTCGAGGTGGAGGCGGAGGCGGAGGCGGACCAACCATTGGTACTCCCGGAGGTGGTGGACCTGGGGGTGGTGGACCTCCCGGTCGTGGTGGGCCTGTTTTTAGATTCAAAAGCTTATTGAAATTTTCAAAAACTAGAAATTTACTTCTAGAACAAAACAGTTAATGGGGTTTAATTTAAATGAGAGAGAATTGGGGAAGGGGGAATCAACTCAGCTGCAAAAAAAGAAGGAAATGGATAGGAAGATAAACAATGCTTACTGTCTATCTCTCTCTCTTTTTTTTTTTTTTTTTTTGACAACCTAAACAGTTTTATAGGGAGAGGCAACCAATTGATAAAATAGCAATAAGAGAATATTCTTCAGTCTTCACAAATAGGTTACAAAATCCTCATTGGTAATTACGTGGTTTGGATTTTGCATTTGTCAATTACCAATAAGTCAAAAATTAGAATCAAAAAATAGTAAAAGATACCATTATAAGGTGGAAGTGGTCCAGCTTGTGGTGGTCCTGTTGGGCCTTGTGTACCTTGTTGAGGTGATGATTGACTATTTCTTGAATTGCGAGAAACATAACCTCTATTTGACTCTCGGCGACTACCCCCACCTCCACTTGCACCTCGTTCTGGAGGTTTGTTGCTAGGTTCCTTGTCTAGAATAAAAAAAATACGTTTTATTAAAGGGAAAAAAAAAAAAAAAAAAAAAAAAAAAAAACAGTTAAGCCTCCATAAAACAAACTTTTAATCAATTTAATTCCAATTCAGTTGAGTTTAGATTTTACCTTGATCTTTATATTAACTACATTTCACAAATAAATAATTACACAATATATTGATAAAATCGATCAATGAAGATTCCTATCAACATTTAGTGATTTAACTGGAATGATTGCATCTTGATGGACCCAAAATTAATTTTATGTCGGTCGGCTGTTATTTTATATTCAACATTTAGTTGTAGTCAGAGAAAATCTTGTCCATCTTTTTAATTTAATTTTTGGCCTTCACTAAGCCATGGATTGAAAGAGTGAAATAAAAATGTCCAAACCTGTTGGGGGTGGTGGCTCTCCTTTTCTAGCCTGAGCTTCAAACTGATTCAGTGCTTGTCTGTTGCAGTGTGTTACGATAGGTGTCTGCCCATGGATTTCCTTTTTAGGCAATTTGTCAAAGATAATTCGAGATGATGCCTCAGATCCAACAGCAACAACAGCAAAACTAAGTGAAAAAGAGAGAAAGAAAAAAAGAATTACAGTCATGGGGGAGGGGGGGGCAATATAGACACATTAGAACAACAACCGCCTTTTAATCATAACCTTTAAAGTCTCTGAAGACTGGTGGAAGCAACACTGCTTTAGCAAACCTGAAAAGTTGATTAATGTTAATAAATTCTAATTTGATAGACAAGTAAAATATTAAATCAAAATGACAAGTTTTACTTGCTATCATGTGAATTTCTTTAAAGAACTGTTTACAATTTTCATCTTTGTGCCTCTTAGCTGCCCTGATATTTATGAATGCTGGCTGAATGTAGAATTTAGTCATAATTCTCTTAAAACCAAGAAATCAAGTTTTTTTTTTTCAAAAAGAAATTATTTTACATTACACACACACACAGGGTGTGATGGGTAAATTGTCGCCATTTTATATTTTTAATTTTGTGCATGCATGTTGTTTGTTCTTGATTTTGTCTACTGTACAGTATATAAAGGTCAGTTGGGCACCATCTATGAGAAAAGGTGCATCATGACTCAATTCAATCTACCAGAAATTTGGAAAATGGCATGCTGTGCTACTTGGAATTTGTGCTGGAAGCTCCAATACAAACATCTCAGAGGATTCAGAAAGAGTTGGAAGAGCCTAATGGTGATTACGAAGGTGTTTGGAGTGATCAATAGTGAGGGCAATGTTATGGCTCCATTCATCTTCCCACAGGGCCTCATTCTCAACTCGGAGGACTACATTAAGTATCCTGAGGAAGTAGTGCTGCTCCAGGTCAAGAGGGTGGCTGCTGGAAAACCCTATGTTTGGCAACAGTACTATGCACCATGCCACACAAGCCGGAGAACCCTGTCATTCGGCATCAACATCACCTCTTATATTTGGCCACCTAACTCCCTAGGCTGCAACCCTCTTGATTATTATGTGTGGGGGTGAAGTTGAGCAAGAGACCAACAAAACTCCTTGTAACACCAAAGATGATCTGAATGCAAAGATTATGACATCATTCACCAACTATAAACAAGGAGACCGTCCAGAAGAGATGCAGGGGATTCCGAAGTCGCCTGGAGGCAGTGATCAAAGCCAATGGTGATTTTATTGAATAAATTTACTCTTTAGCATTTCAAGATATTTTAGTGTAATTTTGGTAAATATATCTGTTAAAATGAGACGTCAGTGTTATTTTCATTTCTGCATAATTTTAGACAACAATTTACCCACTGCACTATATATATATATATATATATATATATATATATATATATATATACACACACACACACACACACACTGAAGAGACAGATTATGAAACCCACCCCAAAAGGGTCACTAGTAGATGTGACAGATTATGAAAAAGAGAAATCAAGTATTCTGTTTAACATTTCCAGATAATTACATGTGACAGACACTCGAGAGAAAAAAAAAGTCACAGTAGCCAAAACATGACAAAGACAACAAAGATAAGGATAATTGGTGCAAGGGAATCAAAAAAATTAAAACAAAAATTTCTTGCAGTATTAAAAAAATAATTTTAAGATTAAATTAAGATATGGCTTTCACTTCTCTAGGTAAGCCACTGATGTGTTGATAATTATTGCTGAAAGACTGTCAAACTTTAGATAAGAACAGCAAAGATGGGGTTTAGATATCATGAAGGCATTTTGAGAGAGCATAAGGCACTGGAAGGGTTAAGAGATAGCCCGATAAACATATCAAGACGCAGGCAAGATTTTATTAAATTCAGAGTTTCTTTTTTTCTCTCCCTTGTATAAAGGCATGAGGAGCGACAGAAACATCTGATTTGTCCTACAAAAACCATATGCCCCAAGTTGACAACTGACTATAAAGCTGACCTGATAACTGCTGGGCTGTCAACATGTCGGCCTCTCTCCCAGAATAAAGATATGACAAGGGCAGGAGAGGGGGATGGCTGAGAGTAAAATGACTTTATTATTATTTTGAGGACTCTAGTCAAAAAAGCCATCTAGATAATTTAAATCCAGAGGACGGAAAGAGGCGGTGCAAGAGCCTAAATGGAGACGTTATTATTTTAAAATTCAGGTTATGGAATTGTCTGCATGCCGTGACCATGTAAGGAAAAAAAATCGGTCGAGAGATAATATTTAAGGTTTTCTATAAACAAAGGCAGAGTTAGAGAATTGTTTTTTTTTTTGTTTTTTATTTTATTTTTATCACTTGTCAAAAGAGGGAAAGGTGTGAATTATTGGAGAAGTGAAATTTCTTTAGGTAAAAGCCGAAATGTCACAGGAAGAGGCTGTCAGGGGAACAGATGATGAATGCTCAACTGAGAAATGGAAGGAGTTGGGGAATTCTGTTGATGAAAATTTTGAGCGACAATTAAAATTTATGATTATAAGTAAGCCGCGCCTGTTCGCCAACGCAGTCTAAAAAATTAAAGGGCTCAGGTGAAGTATCAGGTGGACAGAGGCATTGCCTACACCCCTTTGGTAGTATTGGTACGAGGTACCAATATGAGAAGAAGGTGAATCGATATTCTGTTATCACTACTCTCAGGAGGAGGATCTCCCCAAAATTGGGCATGCAATTAATTTTTTGGAATCAAATGACAAAGGACTCTTCGTTTGGGATTAGGGATTTACTAAAACACCAGGTTTTGTCAGACTCCATGCCAGTTTTGGGCGAGTCTATAAAAGCAGAAAGTCAAAGCGACCAAGATGACAGATGTTCGAGACACCAGGCGAGAGATGACTGACTTGCCTGATATCCTGTGACTTCCTGCCTGAAGACCTCTGATTTTGAGCTGTGTTCCAGAAGCCTCATCTAGATTTAGTCATGACAAAGTGTCACAAAATATTCAAAGAGTGAAGGGTTGATAACTTTGCACAATGAATATATTTTCACATGAAGAATTGATAATTCTACTAGGTCTGTACAAGAAACGTTATATAAAACATTTTCTTTTATTCAATTTGCTTTTTTTACTTCTCTGTCCAGACCAAACCAATTCAATGATTCCTGTCAACAATTTGATCCTCACCAGCCTTGTGATCTAAATCAAACAATGTGGAACAAGACAAGAGATCCATTCAATGGTCAGCTGCAGTGATGAAATACTGACTGGATAGATGGGGTGGACATCATAGTTTGACACGCTGGTCTTCTTCACATGTTGAAGGGTTATGATTTTTCTTTGATTTGACTCAATCATTTCTTATCAAACTGTATAATGAAAGTTGTCTTGAACGGCCACTCCTCTACATCACTTCGCATTAATGTGCCCCCTCACCAACTATTATTGCTGGAACCACAGTTTATTTTTATCAACGATCTTCCTGATGTCATCAGTTTGCAATTTGGTAACTATGCTGATGACATTTAGTCCTGTCTTAATAATAAATTCAATAATATCAAATTGGCACCTGCTCTCAAAAATAACCTACAATCAGTCGTTAAATGGGGCAATAAGTGGCTTGCTAATTTTAATGCATTTCAACACAAAACATTTTTTGCCTTCCATCAGCATGGCTGATGTTAATCTCCAGAAGAACAACTTGTTGCATCTTCTATCTTCTATCTACAAATTCTTGACAAAATCCAAAGAATTAGCAATGTTATTGATCCTGACCGAGAATCTTGGATTCAGTCGCTTTCCCATCACTGTAATATAGCTTTCCTTTGCCTTTTCTACACATATTTTCCCAGTAATTGTTCTGATGAGATTTCTTCTTTGGTACCTTGACTTCACAAATTTAAGCGCAGTACTTGGTTGGCAGTTAGGTCTCATAATTTCACTGTTGAAATTGTTTGTTGTAACCATATATTCTATACTAATAGTTTCTTGCTTTAGTATCAGCTATGATGATCAAAACTTTAAATTCAATATCAATTGTCATCTTCTATCTCCTAGCATTATGTTCTTTTATTGCCTTTTATCAAAGTAAGCAAGTTTGATGTTTGTCTGCACTTTTTGTTTTTTAACTCGCGACATAAATTTTTTTTTTCTTTTTTAGATTTTCCAGCTTCAGCTCTCCATATATTTTATCTGTTACTACTGTGTGACTTCTTAGTTTCTAAATTATCACTTATTGAAACTCATTTTTTTAAAAACTTACAAATGTTCAGTTCATACACAAAAACGTTTCACAAACATATGTAAACAATGTGTTATCAATTCAAGACAAAAACATTCCACTTCATAGGAATTTTTTTTCATCAACAGAGTTGGATGGATGCAATGAAACAATTCCTCAGAAAAGCATCATGAACACACACACATATCAAATAAAGGTTTCTCCCCCGCCCCAACAATATAGTATTATATAAACACTGGCTAAACTCACCCTTTTGATTGCCCATTGGCTCTGTTTTCATAGAACTTAATCTCTAATAAATCTGGAACTCCAACTGAAGCAATGATATCTGTCAAATCCTGATCAGTTGTCCACTGCAACAAACAGAAATAGTTTTGAGGAAACAATTATAGAAGACATTTTTGAACCAGCCAAATATGAAACATGCCCATCAACAAAGCACATGGCAGTTAATTTAAGAATCTAATGACGCCAAACATCTTAAAAGTTAGACAATTTTTTTAAATTGGATTTTTATTTGAATTATTTCACTTTTTAATTTTAAACTGAGACAAATCAATTTGAACTTTTCAAGAAAAATCAATAAATGCATTAAGAAACACTTGTATTAATTTTACACCAATTTCCTAAATTTTGTCTTTTAGAACAGCAATAAACTAATGACTTACTACAATATCAGAGAGTAAGCACAAAAGAGGAAAATGATCTTTTATTAATAGTAAGGTACAAGTTCAAAGCAACTAACTTGCTCATAATGTGGAGAAATAGATAACATCAATTTTCATTCCCAGTCTGATTGCTGGTAGCCAATTAAATCAACTAGTGCTGTAATTCTATCATTATAGCTTACCATACAAGTAAAAGGTGGATTATAAAAAACTACAGAATGTCAATTTGTTCCTTTTATGTTTAGGATTAGTAATTTCAATCATTATGGATAGTCTTAAAATTTTACAAAAACATCCATGTTCTTTTTTTTCTGTAATAGGGGATTTCTAGTAATAAACTTATTTTCTTCATTATTAGTCACACATCATTAAATTAATTTGTGGCATAAATTATTCAAGAAATATTGTATTTTTGTCATAACTGTAAATCAAAGTGATTTGTTACTTTGACAAGCTCTCTTATATAATACCCACTCCCCATCAAGAAGAGGAATGGAGGATTAAATAAATCCATTAATTTACATAAATTCAAAAGAAACTGACCATTCCTAACATTATTTCTCTGTTTCTTTGAGAATCTCATACATTTTTATTATATTAAAATATTTTAATAATTAATATAAGGAAAGACAGACACTTACCCAGGTGAGATTGCCAACATAGAGACTAACTCTTTTGCCTGTGTAGTTGGCAGGCATGATGGGAGCAGAAGAACCAGATTTGGAATCATGACGCAAATCCCCATGCTGTGAAAAGGAAAAACATTTTTTTTTTTTTTTTTTTTTTTTTTACAAATCTAAAAAAACAAAAAACAAAACAAAAACAAATGGAAATTCATTTTCTTTTGGGCTTTATTTGATATAAGAAACTTTTTTGCTTACCTGTTTAAACTTGTGTGGCACATGAAATTTACTAATTTTCACAAATAATCAAAATACTTAGTTAACATCAACAAATACGATCTTTTTTTTTTCTCAATTGGAGAAGACATTAAGTTTGTTTTTTTTTTTTAATTTAATAAGATATGCAATTAAAAAAAAAAAAAGTATCAAGTATTTATAGTAAATGGAATGTTATTTATTTACAACCATGTCAGACTGCAGAGAAGAGATACAATTAAAATGATCGGCACCACAAACATTTATATTTCTTCTTAGAGAACATTTAGAGAAACAATTTTTTATGCCTGTTTATTTATTTTGTCAAAATGTAAACCTGGATGGATGATCAGAGCTTGTTTGCAATAATGCTCCCTGCATCCAAAGTAAAACCCAAGACAAGACTCTAAGTCATCAAAACTCTATTTTAAGGCAATTTGTCCAGAAAAAAATGTGCACAACTTAAATTAATTTTACAATTGATTTTACCATATGAAAAATTAAGAGGAGATGTGAAAATCAGACAACAGATACCAGTTGAAAGAAAACAGTTTATGCATTGATAAAATCATTAACTACAAAAAAAAAAAACCCAGCAGTTTGTCCTTTTATTGCCTAATCCCGGAGGGAAAAGAAAACTTTAACAATTTTACATTCATTGGAACACGTACCAAAATTATTATATACCATTCCTTTGTAATTAGTTTGGTGGAACTACATAAAAAGCAGTTTTATATAATAACGGATCTGGTAAAAAATATGTTGAAACAGACACACTCCACCATCTTTGTTTCTGTCACTTGTTTAATGGATGTTGAGAGATGAAGAGTTCCTTCCCTCCATCTTTAAATTCTCACACCAATTGGTTCTCATTCAAAGTAGACATTTGGAAGACAAAGACCCCCACCTCTCCCCAGAGGTACAACTTTAACAAAAATGAAAACAGGGTTTGTGCTGCTGCTGTTTTTTACTTTCTTGGCTTTATTCAGGTTTCAAAATGAAATTCTTCAACTAGTATAATCATTGTAAAAACTTTGGGGATGAAGAAAGAAAAATCAAAATATATTTGGATCAAGGATGAAACACCAATCCTCCTCTTCTTAATTTAATCAGAGACAGACAAGAAAGATTTTCTTTTCACCAGTCTGTGCACATACACACACACCATTATAATACAAATGAGCAAAGCAAGAAGATCTGATGGTTTTGGAGAAAAATCAAAAACTTTTAGTCTTGTTGATATATAAAGTTTTCATGCACAAATATCTTACTTTTTTTGAATAGTCACAGAAAACAAGTGCATGCAGCAATAAAATAGACAAGGACAATTAAAGATGAGATTGATTTTTGATTGCAGACTTGGAATTTATTCTATTAGAAGTTAATAAGTCAAAAAGTAGATTTGACACTGAATTTTTAGAGAAACACTTCACTTTATTGATTGCCCAATTATCAAGATACTAAACACCATGCTTTGGTCAAATAAGGTTTACAAAAATAAATCCAGTTACCAAACATTTCTACAAATATTGAAAAAACTATTATATGCAGAACATGAAATAGAAAAGGTTTCTGCATTTTAAAATTGCCACAAGGCTTGAAAGAAACAAAGACAAAAACTATATATAAAGTTGTGCCAACACACATGGCCTGAAGATTGTGCTCAAGCATGAAACAGACTGTTGCCTCCAGTGTCCACTTTTGTATTTACATGCATTCTATCCCCGATATTGAGCACTTTTACCCATAAACATAGCATACCTTAAATCATTATATATATTATGAAAAAGGGTGGGGGAAATAGCTGTTGCATTTATAGTAAACAACAGTAAGTAATCAGTGGCATATTTATAGAATGAATGAGTCCAAGATAGAAGCAAAGAGCGTTGTTGAGGTATACTAGTTCACCATAGCAAAATGCTTAGTGCGTACAAGTGATGAATGTTCCCATCAAGGTTATGCAAATACAGTGAATAATTTGTATTGATGCTTTCTTCACCCAATGCCAAGGAGTCAAGCAGAAATCAGTTGTTCTACAACTTCCTTCACTATCAATTTTAACGCATTGAAGACATGAATCAATAGACATTTTCTTTATTAAAAAAAAGAAAAAGGAAAAATTAACTTTAGTTAATTTGCACAATTTTGTAGACACTTAGTCATTATCTATTTTTATTATTACATTTTTTTGTCCGGGTTGGTTGGGGTGCACCTACATTCAAATTAGACTTCTTTTTAAAGATAAGGTCATACGGCTATTTTATTCTTACAGTATTTTTAAATTTAGCAGATTGACAGTCCTACATAGCTGATGATCACTGATTTGTATATAAATAATCCCTTGATTTTTTTCAGAGTAGTTTGCTAGCAACACTGCCAGTTTTTTTAAAACTTAGATCTGGGTTTTTCAATTCTTGTCTATTGTTTTTTTTTTTAACTTTGAAAGTATGTTAAGTAGTGATATACTCTTTCTGCAGTAAAGCAAAACTCCTGTCAGCAGTGGCCTCATCTTCTGGTGTTGAACAAGTTTTCTCATCCTGTTTGGGTGTATTCCAAACTGAGAAACCTTGGTATCGATAAAGATGGTCTTTCTATTTAAATTCATGAATGCAAACACTGCTCATGTTGAATTTTAAAGTTTGTTAAAATATTATTTTATGATTAAAAAAAAAAAATTCAATTGATTAATATTTGATTCTATGCTTAACATTTTTACTTCACAAAATTACATGAAAACAAAAGAATTGTTTTATTTCTAAATCTTTTGCTTTAAATAAAAATTTTCGTAAAATTGATAAATTTGCTTTAAATTGAACCGTTTTTGTGCTTCCTTATATTTGCCATAACTAGCAATGTGTTGTATATGGTGCAATTAATAGAGCAGTATGTCCAGATAAGTTTTTCATTTTTGTTCATCAAAACCTGTTACATCAAGAAATAAAACACCCACATACAAATTAAATAATAATAATGATGATCATTTCAGCTGGAATTTTTCTTTTTCCCATATCTTAGGTTAAGTAAAATTGAATCTTGTTTTCATTTTCCTCAAATCAAAAATTTTGGCTTTTGTTTAAGCAAAGAAAACAACTGCAACAAGGTTTCAAATATAGCAATATTCTTAATGCTTTGATATTAGAATCAGTGCAGATTTTGTGGTGATTAAGATTGTAAACAGTGGATAATAAAGAACAGGAGGAGACAACTGACAATGTTACTCTGCTATCAGATGAAGATCTGGAAAACTACTAACAGCTGGAATAGAACCACCTGGGAAGAAGACTGCACAACTGTTCCTCTTCTTACTCACTTAATCAGTGTAACAGTTTTGTAAAAAGACTGGGTCATTCTTCAGAGATGCAAGACAGACATTTTACCACAATGATGTCCTCACTTAAACAGAATTTTTTTCTAATTTGACAAGAAATATTAGGCGACTTTTCAGAGTTTCTTCAAGGAGTAAAAACAGTTGAGCCGTACAGTTATTGGCAGACAACATTAAGCCTATGTCCATCCGTGTGTTGGTGTAATTTATGAAAACAGGAGAGAAATAAATATTATTTATCAGCATTGTTACAGAGACAAAAATAAGAAATCAGTGATATAATAGAAATATCACCACAAGTCAAATGCTTATTTCCATAACAATGTATTTCTCTAAGGTTGCCTTGTAAAACAGAAATAATTCTTTGCTAAAAACAAATATTAGGAAACTAAAAACAATAGATAAAAAGGCCAAAATAAAGCATACAACTAGATGACAACAGAATCACTTTAATTTCTAGAATTTTGTAGTTGTTAAAGATGAAAATGTTTAAAGTGAACTAGCAAAATGAGATTTGAGGACTTGGGGGGGGGTGCTCAGGTTTATGCATTCTGGTAGTTGTAAACAAAAAACAGCTGAGGAAAGATTGCAATAGTTGTTGGAGCAAGAGACAGATAATGAAAAAGTAGATTTCAATTGTAAAAACAACTTTCAAGAGGTTAATGCTAATAGTCTTGTCTTAACTACTAAATATTTTATTATACAAAAAGGTAAGAGAATTTGAGGTGAAAAGAATTGGGAAAACTTAGGTATTGACAACAGTGTTAATATCTATCAGTTTTTTCTTTCACAAAGTTGTCCAAAGCCTTTTAAAATTAAGATTCTTGGAAAATATTTATTTATTTTTTTTTTTTAGATGAAGTACCATATTTAAAAAAAAAAGCAAAAAAAAAAAAAAAAAAAAAAAAGCAGTATTTATGTTCATCTTTTTTTTTTTGTGTGCTCAGATTGTCAAGTCTACAGCAACAAGTAGACAATTTTTTTGTTTAAATGTCCAGTTTCTTTATCTGTGCTATATTTGTTTTGCTTGTGTTGTAAAAACCAAAACTAAATGTAGCACTAATAAAACTCATTAAATTAAGTAATAGGATTAAACATTGCAGAAGTTTAAAAAAAAATTTTAAAAAATCAAAAAAAAAATCACACACACATAAAACAGTTTTCATGTCCTCATAGTAAAGCACTTGAGCATTTAAAATGAGGCTTGTCTGTTGTACCCTTATTTCCAGTCCATGCTGTAGTAAAGTTGCAATAAAAAGCAATTAGTTAATAAGAATACATGCGGTAACTATAGTGCTATTAATTACATTTTAACAGAATAACTTTCACAAAAAGCAGATGGAAGATGCTCAGCTAGAAAAGGTAACAGGTAACTATGATTTTTAAGTAAATTAGCAACTCTTCAAAACATGTTTGTTTTCTGTTTATTATTATTTAATTGAACTTAAAGTAAATAAAACTAATTTTTCACTTTCCTCATGTTTTTAAAACTGACATTTTAATATCTTGAATATTTTGCTTAAAACTAGATAGTATCACATTTATCTGCAGCAAATATAAAAAGCTTCCATTCAACCAAGTGCTTTTTATTTTTACTTCAGATATAGAAAAGCTGCATAAATCCATTTTTCATACTTGAGAATTCCTATTTTTTAAACTCGTAGCCAATAAAAGATGTGGAAATAGCCAACAGCAAATTGTATATCAGTGTTTAAATAGTTTTTTTTAAATTGTCAAGAGTTGTTTCTATAACCAACACTTTTCACCAAGATGTAACAAGAATATGCTTTGCCTTTTCATCTGTTCTTTCAGGAGTTGCTCTTTCATGTCAATTACACTTCTATATAAAAGTGCAATGTACCGGTGTCTGTCTGTTTTTTTGATCTCAGTAAATCACAAACAACCTGAAGTAACAGGTTGAGTTACTGGAGTTACACATGATTAAAAATTAAATAACTCAAAGTTAAATTTCAATATCTAACAGAGTGAAAGGTTTAAAAAAAACAATTCTTTATTAAAAGGTTTAACTTTAATTTTGCTTTTCTTTGCAATTGATATCATCTAATTAAACCATAATTAAAACTTAAGTGGGGCACAATAGGTTGCTAATTTTTTTTTTTTCTAGCACGTGTTCTGTGACGTATTTAAAATATTACATAGTTTGGGTTCCCTAATGTCTTAAGAGTGATTTCATGTGAAGGGATCATAAAGAATGTCGATTTTTAAAAGAAAATAAAAATTGCTCACAAAATAAATGTAAACTACGGAGATGGGTTGCATATATTAAGATTATGCCAACTTTAGGTGTCAAATAAAGATAAATAATTTCATTATTTCTAAATTTTTATAACTCTTACATACATAGGATGCTGAAGGTAAAAGGGGTGAAGTTTCAAAAGCCTCACCACAGGAGCTAACTTAAAGTTTTGTCAAAGGGTGGTTCTAAGTTAGTTTGCAATAAGCATAAAAGTTTCATATACACACAATTACAGGAAGAAAGAAAGGTTTATGATTGACAAATTACAAACTAAAGACAGTAACAGTCAACTAAGAGGAAAACCTTTGAACTCTCCCACAAGATAAATATCCTTAAAAGCAAAATTCCCTTTTTCAATTCAATAAATAACAAAATCTGTAGAAACAACTAGTCTTAAGTAACAGAAAAATTCTCAGGTTACCAAAACGGCTAAGCAGCAAAAGCAATATTATTTTCCTAAAAATTCTATTTAAAAACCATCATCTCTGAATGAGACAAGAGTAATTCTAAGTAGAGAAGGCAGCAGAATGAAAGATTCATGTATTTAAAGGCTCAGTTTTTCATCTCTCTCTATAAAAAAAAAAAAGGAAAAGAGGCCTTCCAAAAGAAATATTTTGACATTGCTAAAACCCTACTCTTGTCAAGAGATCAAGGTTTCTTGTGAATAAAATCATTGACAGCAGTTCTCTGGCTAACTAACCACATTATATTGAAATGAAACCACCTAAATGTTGGGAAAAGAGATGAGAGAATGTTTTTGTTTGCACTCTCTCTGCAGTTCATTTGATAAAGTCAATCCATTTTCAAGAATTGATGAAGTTAAGATGATATTTTGGGAGAAAGAAAATTAACAACTTAGTAATTGGGACATTTTGTGACACAAACATTTTTGCATTCTACTTACTCTATTTCTGGAAAAGTAAACAGAAGATCCTCGCTCATGATCCCTTGAGTCTCTGGATGATTCCGGATCCAAGCCATGGGAATAAAGCTGTAGAAGTGTGCGAGAGAGAAGAAAAAAATTTTTCACAAGTCGTTCTAACAATTGTGCATGCAAGATGGAATCAGGGAAGGAAGTGTTGAGAAGTCACTACATATATCTGGAAAGTTTTCTTCCAATGCAGGTTTAATAAAAAACAAAATGATTGCTTACATGCTTAGGCCAGCTGATCAACAATACAATTTATTATAGGAGTAAAGAATGTTATAAACCAAAGAGTGTTCAGAATTTTATATTTGCAATGTGTGCAAAATGTGCAGTTAAGCAGAGTAACAAACAACTTTGGAAATAGTAAAAACAATTAAATTTCATTGAAATATTACTTTGTTATCAGGAAACTATTTGCTATAAGTTATTAGCAGATTTCCATTTACAGACATTTTTTTTTTTTTTTAAATACTTCTATTAAAAGAAAAAAAGTCTACTGGCCACAAAAATTACTTAAAGAATTATAGTCAGAAAAATATTTTGGGGAGAGAGAGAGAAATTTTTTTTTAAGTTCTACAAATGTAATATTAAGAGTGAGATAGCAGAAACCTCTTTTCTACCATTCAGCTCTGAAAGAAGGAATATTTTTTGTTTTGAATCTTGACAAGCATACAAATCAAAATGGTAACCAAAGGAAAAATCTGATTTTAAACATTAAAGTCCATACTATTGCTTCCCTGTTAAGCACACCAGAAACTTGAACCACCTGCACATTGGCAGTGGAATTTTGATCATTAGCACACATTTATACTGAGTAAGAGATGTGCAAAATAAATAAATAAAAAAAAAGTGATTGCTATAAAGATTTTTTTTGTCAAAAATGTGCATAAAGAGAAAAGGGGTTAATATCAAGTGTCACCCAGTCAAGATTTTATGCATTTTTTGTTTATATACATTTTTTTTTTCACTAAAAAGTTATAAAGCAAAAATATTTTTACCTATTTTACCAGATAATAATTTAAACAGGAAAATAATTTTTTTTTTTTTTTTTTTAGATCAAGTTGAAAAAGAGTCATGATGCTTCATGTTTTATAAATTATAGCTCATAATTTAAATTCTGCCAGAAATGACAAAAACTGGTTACTATAATGAGACACCACTAACAATCATGTGACTAATTTATTATAACGCAAGAAAAGTGGAGCTGCGTCTTAATGGAAGTGCATCTGGTAGATAAATAAACATGTTACAAGCTTTTCAGCTTATAATCCTAACTTAACATTGAACTAATCTGTTTATTCTGAACAATTTTGCAATATGAGCAAATAAGCTGGTTTCATAAAAATTAGTTTGATTAAATATAGAATTTCAATTTCAAAAACTATTGCAACTAATGGCCTAAAAAAAAAAAAAAAAAAAAAAAAACACACACCAGGCTATTATGAAGTGGGGAAATCTGGAATTATCTGACAATTTCTGTAAGAAAAGAAAGAATACTGAATATTTTCCCCATGAATAATAAAAATATAAAAATTGTGACCCTTTTTAAATATAAATTCCAATACAATGTGAAAAATTTTCAAAGCTCAAAAAGGAATGTCAGAAATTTAATTATAGCTTCCAAAGGATTATGGATGGTTAACATTTCTAATATTTTTGTGGGGAGAGAAGCTAGTCAAATGGCTTTACCATTAACAGAATTTTATCTAACTTATAATAGGTCATAGAAAGCTATTTTACAATAAGAAATTAGATATTCCAAATATTTATATGGGCTCTGTGTACACCAGTGAATCTAAAATCATTTTATATTAATCAAATATTAAATGGGATAGTAAAAAAAAAAAGGTAGAGAGAATTATCATCTTAATAGGGATTGTTTTCTGATAAAAACAACTCTGATTGGCTTAAAGGTGCCTAACTTGTGTACTGTTGTCCAACCTTTGCTAACAAGGATATTTATTAAATATCCCAACAGTGCCATCCACACAATGTGGAAAAGATTCAACAAGCACAAATAACTAGTAGAAAATATGTCCAAAGTAGGATTGATTATCATTTTTTTTCTTTTCTTTTTCTTTTCTTTCCAAATACTCATTCTTGTAAAATAGAAATCGGGGATATAAACAAAAAAGGGAAAGAAGAAAAAAAAAAAAAAAAAATAGTGGCCAAAGACAAATGTGGTTTAAGATCAAATTTTTATTGTTCAATAACATACTTTCAAATACACAAAACATCAGAAATTTATCTTGACAAAAAACAAAAAATAATTTTTACCTTTTTGTTAATAAGAACTGAAAAGACTTATCAGTGTGTCAATTTCAAAATAGTACTGTACAGAAATTTCTCATAAGATTTGTAAAGACTTAACAAATGCTTCCAAGTTTATTTAGAATTTCAGATGGAAGATAAAATACAAAACATCAAAATATTGGATTCACAATCAGATATTTTACTCCACACAATGGGCATGCAGTGTCAAAGCTAAACTTTACATTCAAATTAAAATTTTAATCTTGGCGAGGTGACCACTCATCATTTAAGAAAAAAAAAAAAAAAAAAAAAAAGACATTCACTTTAAAAGCTACTTTCAAATATTAACAGGTAAACATGCAATATTCCAATAAGAAACAACCTCAGAGTATTACAAATTTAAAACACAATTTAAGACATGTAATTTGAAAAATATTTTGAGGACAAATTCATAAAGGCTTACAAATTTTTTTCTTTTTATTTAGTTTAGGTTTTGCATTTATTAAAGTCTTTCAAAAACATAACATGAACATTTTATGAAAATTTTTATGTGGAATAGATTTTAATAGTTTACAGCACAAATAAAAACCATCAAGCATTTTAAGCATTCAAGTATTACAATCAAGATTTTCTTTAACGTTTCCAAATCAATGTTTACAGTTGCTGGTCAATAGAAAGAAGGATGTTGGGAGAGGGGAAGAAACTTGTTAGAGTACAAAAATGTAAAAAAAAAAAAAAAAAAAAAAAAAAATTTCCTTTAATGAATTCTCTGAGATGTTTTCTATTAAAACACTTCAGAGAGAACTCAATAAACAAGATTGCTAAAGTTCTTAGAGACATTTGCTAGAAATATTTATGCCATTTAGGGAACTTATTATAGAACATTTGGCTCACTTGTTTTTACTTACATCTAACCCTTCTTGAGATGCTGGGGCTGTGATAACATCATCATATAAATCACTATCATGGTTGTAGTCCGCATCCTGAAACAAAAACATACACACAATTATAGGCTGTGATTTTAGAATACAATGATGAAGACAGCAACAGAATGAATTTCTCATCTAAAACATTGAGCATTCCTTATATAAAAGTTCCCTAAATGAGAGAAAAAGCTGTCAAAATTAATTCTTATAATAACTGGTTCCATTAAACTAGGGACCCCCACAAAAAAAGCACAATACCCAAGGTTTAAAATGAATTCTTAAAGTTTTTATTTTAGTTTTAATTTCAAGCTAATAGATTATATTTAGTATTTCCAATAATCAAAATACTTTGCTGCATTTCTAAAACTAATTTAAATTGACAGAATTTTTTTTCTAAAATAGTTGATTAGCAACCATTTTTAGTTGTCTTTCATTATAATGTAATTCTGTTTATTAAAGTCTTCCAAAAATAAAATATACTTTTCTAAAACTTTATTCGAGGAATATTAGCCAATTTAAAGCATCATTAATCTGATTTGAAACAAATATTTACCTTAAGTTTAAAATATTGTGGAAATTAATTTTTTTAACCAAACAGTAGTTGTGTTTTTAACTGACAGTAGGCATGCTTGTGTTTGACAAAGTGATGACAGTTAAAATATTGCTATTTGATAGCCTATTCTTTTCTAAAAAATTAATTTAAACCTTTGGTATCACAATTTTTTTGGAGGCACATCAAGTGAAAAAATTTCTTTCAATGTTTGTATACTATATATATATATATATATATATATATATATATATATATATATATATATTTTAGTTATGATAAATTGCTTTTTATGTTAATATTACAATCTGCCCTTAATGGTAAATGATGACTTGTCATTAGGACAATAAAACAGAAGCATTTTTATTTTATTTTTGACGGTCAACACAATTTGTTCTATACTAGAAATATTTTATTAGTTAAAAAACAAATTTCTAATTGTCAGATATTATGAAACTTTCAGAAACTATTCACAAATGGAAATTATTATAAATATGTTTTCTTTTTTTTAAAGTCATGGCCAAAAAAATTTTTTTTTTTGTATTACACCACCCCATAACTAATTTTATGAAAACTAGAAGTTCAACATTGTTCAGTTTAGTGATTGTATTAGTTAAAAGCACAAGGCTTTGAGGAAAGCAAATCATTTTTTTTTTTAATTGGATCCCTCCTACCTGAAAATCAGTTCTGAATTGTAACATACAAAACTCAATAAAACAAAGATATTATTTAATTTCAAATGCTATTTGCTTTTATGAATGTGAATATTTTCCGAAAACAAAAAACTTTTTCAATGAAAAATGAGTTTTTAATGCAATTATTTATTATTTCTTTATTTTAGATTTTTTCATTTAAGTTGTTAAAATATTATAAATTAGTTGAAAGCCAGTTTTGTAAATGGCATTATGAGATTTTTTTTTGTTTTTTTTACAGCATTGTAAATTGTATCACTTCAATCAATCAGAAGACCCACACTAATTAAGAAATGTAATGTGTTTATAAACGGCTGTAATTAAAAATACAGAAGACCAGCAAGAACACAATTAAGTCAAGTTATTTGTTAAGCATTGTTCTCCGTGTGGAGAAGTTAATTTTTCAATTTCAACTGAGAAGGGTACCTACAAGTATTAGTATCATCTTATTTTTATATTAATCTCAGTTATGACATTTTTCCGTAAATGAAATATCAAAATTAATAAAATGAATGGAAATATAAATAACACAGTAAAATATAATAAATGTAAAAAAATTATAGTATTTTATGTACACATCTGATAAAATTTCATTAGAAAGGTACCTACAAATTAGATACCTTTCTTATGAAATTTAATTTCACTCTCAAGTCTTATTTTAATTTTTTTTACAATATATTTTCCATAAAGCATCGTAAACATTAAGGTGAAAGCTAAGTACAAAATCAAAAATTAGAGCACTGAAAGTCTTCCTTAAAAATAACGAGGTAAATAATTTGTTCATTTAAACCTAAATAATTATATCACTTCTGTCTTTCCATACAATAACTTTTCCTAATTGTAAGCTGTCAATACATGATGAAATCATCACTCATCACCTGTCAAGTGATGTGAAATGTTATGACCTGCTTTTTTATTTTTAAAATTACTACTTTTTTGGTGCAGTAACTTAGTAATACTTGTTTCAAAATATTTAAAATAAACATTATAATTTCTAATTTTCTTAAAATAAGTTTTGGAAAAATTATTTTAAAAAAATTTGAAACTGAGATTTTCATTTTTTTTATAAAATAGTTGACATGATTATCTGCCAATTTTGCTGACTCTTAAAAAAAAAAAAAAAAAAAAAAATTTCGGATATGCTAGGAACAATTTAAAAATGTAAAAAAAAAAAAAATTACTCCAAAAATACTTTTATCTTCCCTCTTAATAATAACAAACATTTAGACGATAAAATTTTGTTTTCATCAAGTTTGGTGTCTTTTTCATCATGCTATGTTTTTTTTTTTTTTAGCGATCTCATGGAGGTACCTAAAGTTTTACTCCAATAACGTGTCAAATATATATTCTATTTTTGGAAGATTTAAAAAAAAATAAATAAAAATAAAATAAAATAGATATTTTTGTTTCGTTTACAAATTTCTTAAAATTAAGAAAATGGCTGATTTTCTTAAAGCATCCAAAAAGTTGCGTCTCCAATCTATATAATTTTCATTGAAAATACACCTGAATATTTTGCTTACTGGAAATAGTAAATGTAGGTACCTCCATGAAATGTAAACAGAGCATAGAATGATGAAAAAAACAAAACAAAAACAAAACGCCAAACTTGACAAAAAACAAAATTTCATTGTCTAATGTTCATATTATTAAAGAGGAAAGATCAAAGTATTTTTGGGGTATTATTTTACATTTTTTAATCATTCATAGCACATCCGAACTTTTTTTTTTTTTGACAGATAATCCATCATTTTCAATCATTTTTTTCCATTTTATAAAAAAGTTGAAAATCTCACTTTGAAATTCTTTTAGAAATCAATTATCATTTTTTCAAAACTTATTTTAATAAAATCAGAAATTATAATGTTTATTTAAAATATTTTGAACCAAGCTTAACTTAGCTTAGTTTAGCTTCTGCGCTGAAAAAATGTAATTTGAAAATAAAACAAAGCAGGTCATAACCTTTTGCGTCACTTGACAGGTGATGAAAGACATTTTCATGACGTTTAGATAACTTCTTTCTACGGATGGAAGGAAGTGAAATTATTTAGATTTAAGTGAACAAATTATTTACCTCGTTATTTTTGAGGAAAACTTTCAGCGCTCTAATTTTTTTTTTGTACTTAGCTTTCATCTTTACGTTTACAATGCTTTATGGAAAATATATTATAAAGAAATTAAAAAATAAGACTGTTAAGAGTGAGATTAAATTTCATAAGAAAAGTATCTAATTAATTTATAGGTACCTTTCTTATGAAATTTTATTAGAAGTGTACATAAAATAGTATCATTTTATGTACATTTATTACATTTTACTGTGTTATTTGTATTTCCATTCATTTTATTATTAATTTTGATATTTCATTTATGGAAAAATGTCATAACTGAGATTAATATAAAAATAAGATCATATAAATTTCATAAGCTGATACTGATACTTGCAGGTACCCTTCTCAGTTGAAATTGAAAAATCAAATTAACTTCTCCATACGTGTTTTGCAAAAGTAAAGGCCTTAACAGTGGAGAACAATGCTGAACTCATAATAACGCAAATTAATTGTATTCTGGTTCGTCTTCCGTACTTTATAATTACCGCCTGATTATAAACACAAAATTACATTTCTTAATTACTGCGGATCTTCTGATTAGTCAAAATGATACAATTTACAAAGTGCTAAAAAAAATGATCTTTCTCATAAGGGCACTTAGAAAACCCGATGCGGCTTTTAACTAATTTTATATTTTTTAACAACTTAATGTAAAAATCTATTATAATTAAAGAAATAACAAATAATTATATTAAAAATTCAATTTCCATTGAAAAGATTTTTTGCTTTCATAAAAACAACTAAAAGCATTTGAAATTAAATAATATCTTTGTTTTATTGAGTTTTGTATGTTACAATTCAGAGCTGATTTTCAGCTGATACAATTAACAAAAAAAAAAAAAAAAAAAAAAAAAAATTTGTATTCTTCAAAGCCTTGTGCTTTTAACTATTGTAATCACTAAACCCGATTCGATCGAATTTCTAGCGTTTTCATAAAATTAGTTATGGGGGTGTTAATAAATATAAAAAAAAATAATTTCTGCCATGACTAATAAAAAAAGACATTTATAATAATTTCGATCATCTGTGAATAGTTTCTGAAAGTTTCATTAACATCCGACAATTATTTTTATTTTTGCAAGATTCTCTAAATTAATGTGTGTAAATACAAAAAAAAAAAAAAAAAAAAAAAAAATATAAATTTAGAATGTTCTAAAGAGAAGGAAATTTTTTTTTAAAATAATTAAAAAAAACTTTGGTCTTTCCTCTTCATAATAACATAAGCATTTAGACGATAAAATTTTGTTTTCATAAAGTTTGGCGTCTTTTTCATCAGACTTATTGCTCTTTTTTTTAGCGATTTCGTGGAGGTACCTAAAATGTAATTATTTAGCTTTCAATTAATTAAAAGGTAAAATGAAATCTTCAAGAATGATTTTTCATTTTTAAAAATGAATTTTAAGCCTTAGGTATCGAAAAGTCAGTGGAAGTTCCTACATGTAAAAATCCACAGCAAGTTGACGAGATTTTACAAATCTCTAATAATCAGAAACACCACACTGCTTAAAACAAAAACACTTCTATCAATCATCACCAAACTGTTTTCATTTTGATCAGAGATGTCATCAAAACAAAACTGATTATTTTTTAGCCCCCCCCCCATCCATTTGTAGCAATATCAACCTATTCTCATGTTTAAGGCAAACAATCACAAAAAATATGGTTTTTTTTTTACTTTCAACAAATCCTATTCAAAATGATGATAATATGTGAGGATGGAGAGGGAGTGAAGAAAGGCCAGAGAGATTCTTGACGTCGCTCCACGTGCTAGCGGCAGCAAATCTTATATTGGAGACTGAAAATAGGAGAAAAGTCATGAAATAGAAGGATGAGGGGGAGGAGAGACAGAACAGCAGCAGCAAATCCGAGAGGGAAGATAAAGTGATGGATATGGATTTCGGGAAGGAAGTCGACTATCATGAAGGCAATTAATTCAAGCTAAAAGTATAAAAATAAATAAAAAGCCACCTTTTCTTGTGTGTGTGTGTGTGTGTGTACGCAAATATTGACAAATAAAGTGTATATCCTACGATGACTGCCTTCCCTTTTTTTTTTTTTAAACCTAATAAATTCAATGATCATCAATGGATGGTGTTATTTATTTCATAAATCAAAATAGACGACGACCATCCAAATGGTTTTTATTTCCAGGTTGACTGCGACGGCGACCACCAAATATAATCGATATTCTTCTACATAACAACGACGCAATCAAAGAGGAGAATACATTATTATATTACTGAAGGCGTGAAAAAGAATTGATTCAGTTAGTAAATTCGAAAAAGATGTCGGAATTATTTTGCTTTAATCAAAGGAGAATTCATATAAAAAAGGTTTCATATTATAAATTTCTTCACGATTACAATAATAATCACTGAATCAGTTACGATCTTTTTTCTTCTTTTTAAAGACGACAAACTTGTACTACGCAACTTTCTTTTTCTTGATTTGCATAGAAATATTCAATTCTAGATATTTTGAATAAAAAACGTGTAGATCCATTCCAAATGAATTAAAAAAAAAAAAAAAAAAATCAACGTCTTTAAGAAAAAAGTGGCCACCTCAGAAATAAATATACATAAATAATAGCACAAAAAGCTAACAATGTATTAAGACTTTTTAATAATGTCAAATATTAAAAGTCTTGAAAGTGCTGTTTAGAAAATAATTATAAACATTTAAAAATTCATTTTTTCTATTTAAAAAAAGAAAAAAAGAACCGTTTTTATTTTTACAAGACTCAATTATTTCTTCAAGTTATTTTAAAGAGATTCTGGGGGGGAAATAAGGATAGTATTATTTTGTGAGTTCAAATATTTTGTGCGTAAGAACCGAAATATCTTTATTCATATATTTAAAAGAAAATAAAAATAAAAATTTAAAAAATAAAATGGATTGAATGTAACAATTTTCAAAAGAAATTTTACAATCTATTTTTCGTTGTTAAAAAAAAATTCTGTAATGAAACGAATTTAAAAGAGGAAAAAAAAATAGCCTGTCTGTAAAAACAATCGGATCATTTTTATTTTTTTTTTATAAAGGAACTTTCATTACGGATGTAAAAATTATGATCAGATAAACTACGGAAATTTTATTTTAGGGGCCCAAAATAAGACTTTTTAATTAAAAATTTAATCTATTAAATTATTTAATCTTTGAAATAAATAATTTTATTTATTTTAGGAAAATTAAGACCGAAAATAATCTTAATGCATTTTCAATTTCTATACAAAGTGTACAAAATAAAGCGAGCAAATAAATTTAATATCACAATGACGAAAGTAAATAAAATAAAAATACATATTTATAAACAGAAGAATTATTCAGCTTTTTGCATCTCAAAATTTATGCAATGTACATAAACTTACAGATACGTTAAGAAATGCTGAGAAATTCTTTTTCATTGACATGAAGAAAAAAGCTCGGAAATCGTTTTCCCTTTTTCCGACAAAAACTGAAGGAATCCCTTCTCTTTTTTTTTTCTATTTTATCTTCCACCCCCACAAAAAATTCAGCTCCCTTTAGCAAAATAAAAGACAATTGCATCGGTATTTTTCATTGAAATATTATCTCCAAGAGTTCATCTACCTAAAACCGATCTTATTTGAATAAAGTGAGCCTCTAAAAGCTGAAAGCAAAACAAATAAAAACGAAGCAAATAAGTCAAACGAGAGACACGTTGGTCGTCGTCATCGCGGCCATGAACGAAACAATAAAGAAAAACAATAACACTCGATCATTTTACTTAATAAAACCAGTTTTTTCCCCAAATATAAAAACCATATAAAATATTCACCCAATCTAAATAGACCAATAAACGTCTGATAAACATTAACCAAACAAATCGACAGTATAGAAAAAACAAAAACAAAAAAAAACGAAGCTTCTTAAATATCAACTTTTTAAATAAAGCGTTATACACAAAGATGGCGAAGGACGATGCCGGGCCGAACAAGACAATCCAGAGGGAGAGCTTTCAAACACCATTTCAGTGCACGCATTTGGAGACGAATTCGGATTACAAGAAACACAGATGAATGCACAAGTCTTCGGTCCACATTTCGATATCGTTGCTGACCATTTATAAAACGGTCTTACCTGATTAAAATCCTCTTCTAAGTTGTCATACAAATCAATATCGACACCTTCCGCCATTTTTCCCACTCTTTTTTCTTTTTTGGTGGCTTGCTTTCTTTTCTTCTTCTTTTTTTTTTTTTTTTGTCTGCTCACAATGTTTGGCGCCACCTGACGGTCATAGAATGAAACTACACGCTTCAAGGGAGACCATTCGTGTTTAACTGTTTCACGAGGCTTCCTCACAACAAAATAACACTTCAGTTAGATCTTTTTTTTTATTGTATTCAATTATCTGCTGTCTTGTTCTCGTAGATGATCAGAAAATAGAACATCTTTTTTTATTTTCTTTATTAAAATGCAAAGACTTGTCGGGCCTTGCAAGATATTCTTTGACTTTGAGAGTTCGATACCACTCACTGAATGCCCCATTATTGTGGCCTTGTACCATACTAGACTAAGTTCTTATTGATAGAATTCAAAATTATATTTTAAATAAACTGAACGTCCCAATATTTTATAATAGTCTTCTCTTAATAAACCCACAATAGTGTTTCTTGAAGTCACTTTGTAGCGGGTGAGAGAGAAAAGCATGGAAGAAGAAAGGCCCTAAAAATGTCTGATCTGATATAGAAAAAAACAGATAAAACAATATTTTTAATAAAATGAGTAACATTTTCATTTATTTAATTAATACAACGTAAAATAAAACTAAAAAGCCATTTGGTAGTGAATTATTTTTTAATAAATTCTATAATGAAAATGTTTACTTTATTTCATTTGATGAAGTTATATTTTTTAAAATTTTAAAAATATAACTTACATCATCAAATGAATTTTAAATTACCTTTTTTTTAATCAAAATAATTTTTTTTTTATCACTCTTCTTTTCCTACCATAACAATGCGTACTTTGTAATTTTTCTTTCATTAATTACTTTTTATGACATTTTTAAAAGGATTTTTTAGGTCACCGCGAAATTATTCTTGCTTTCTTTTGGGATTTCAATTAAGAAAAGAGATTTACTAAGCTTTTTTATTTTTCTCAAGTTGATAATTTCTTTTCGTATCTGATACATCTTTTTACATACAAAGTAAATTAGATTCCAAATTGAAATTGGTCTTCTTAATTTAAAAAGTTTAAAGCCCAAAAAAGTTAGAATTAAAGAAAAATGCCTTAAGTTTAAATTACATTTTCAAAAATAGGTTTTAAATTATAATTTTAAATAAAAGGACGAATTTTTAAATTTATATTTCAATAAAATATGTTATAATTTAGTTGGATAGGAAGAGAACATTGAGATAGATAAATAGAAGGATTTTTTTAAATCATATCACCCACAAGCAAGGCAATAAGGCCACTAAGATGCAAGAAGTTACTAGGTGTTACTGTTTTTTTAGAGAAGCGTTTCTCAACCTTTTTTTTACCCTTTGCGTAACCCTTAGAAAAAAAATACATATCTCAAGGAACCCCTGCGTAAAGACAAAATTATATACCATATCTTTCTCATTTTATTTTCAATTTTTCATCGTAGTTCACGTGCTATTTTTGAATAACTGGTTTATGGAAAAATGAATACTTCTTTGTCAAATTTTTCGGTAATTCTAAATAAAATTCATACTGTTCGTTTTACTTCATCAGGGAATTTTCATACACAAAAAATTCTAAACTCAAACATAAAAATTACCTATAAATATAAACTAAACAAAAACAGATAATTGCTGCATCAGGTTTTTTATTATTTTTTTTATCCTTTTACTGGTAATGTTGAAAAGTCAAAAGTGCATTAGCTTATCTCACCTGTTCTCGCGGAACCCTTATCCACCTTTTGCGGAACCTTAGGGGTTTCGGGGAACCACGGTTGAGAAACGCTGGTTTAGAGAATATAAGAAAAAAAAACCTAAGGAGAGAGGACAATAAAAGAACGGGTTTTATAAGCTCAGAAGATAACGATTGACATTGTATTATTAATTTTTGAAGATCAAAGTTGACTGGAAAGCCAGAAGCCGGAAGATAGTTCCACAAGGGAGAAATGTGAAAGAAAAAAGTGTTAGAATAGAGAACTTATGGTTACACATCTAGCCATTTCAACTGTAAAATGATGAGACCTAGCTGTCAATCTAGTACTGCGCTTAAATTCAAAAAATCGAGATACCAAAGAGGAAAGATCAGAAGAAGAATCACATGAAAGTATTTATGGAAAAAGCACAAGGAAGCTACATGACGGTGGTGAGAAAGTGACTGAAGATGAGATGGCAGGTCAAGACCAATAACATTGCTGATTCTTTTTTTGGATTTTATCAAGAATCTCTAAATATAAAGAGGGAGCAACAGACCAGATGTGGCAGCAATGTTCAATGCATGAACGAATGGTAGACTTAAAACTAAATATTGTAGATTCTGGCGAGTAAAATTGTCTAATTCAACATCGTGAAGCAACTTTCTAAGCTGCAGACCGAGCAATTGATTCAATACTCCTCCACTTTTCACTTCATGTAACCTGGAAAACGTTAGTCTAAGAAGTCGCAATGATTCACTTTACGGGAGGTTAGCATCAGCCATCTGCCATACTGATGGAAGATAAAAACTAAAAAGGGTTCTTTCAGATGATTAAAAAGAGAGAGAGAGAGAGAGAGAGAGAGAGAGCAGTTTCGTTTTTGAGGTGTTAAAACTAACAAGCCATTACTCAACCCATTTAACAACAAATTGTAGGTCATTTTTTAGATCAGCTGCCAATTTGACCTTATTGAATCGATCGGACTTACTAGGTTGTGTCAGTATAGATAGCTAGTTGAGATATAGATAGATTGGGAATTGAGATTGATAACATAATGCGATAGATATCAATAATAATAAACTATAACAATAACATATTGCGAGATAACATATAGAAAGATAACATTCAGATAAAGAAAGATTGCGATATGACATTGCAATATAGATAGATAACATAGATAGATAGATAGATAGATAGCGTCTATCCGATATACTGAGATAGATAGATAGATAGATAGATAGATATGAAGAGACTGAGAGAGATATGAAGAGACTGCGATAGATAGATAGATAGATAGATAGATAGATAGATAGATAGATAGATGAAGAGACTGAGATAGATGAAGAGACTGAGATAGATGAAGAGACTGCGATAGATAGATAGATAGATAGATAGATAGCGTCTATCCGATATACTGAGATAAATAGATAGACAGAAATACGAAGAGACTGAGATAGATAGATAGATAGATAGATAGATAGATAGATAGATATAGATAGATAGATATGAAGAGACTGAGATAGATATGAAGAGACTGACATAGATAGATAAATAGATAGATAGATACATACAAACATACAGATATGAAGAGACTGCGATAGATAGATAGATAGATAGATAGATAGATAGATAGATAGATAGATAGATAGATAGCGTCTATCCGATATACTGAGATAAATAGATGACAGAAATACGAAGAGACTGAGATAGATAGATAGATAGATAGATAGATAGATAAATAGAGATGGATAGCGTCTATCCGATATACTGAGATAAATAGATAGACAGAAATACGAAGAGACTGAGATAGATAGATAGATAGATAGATAGATAGATAGATAGATAGATAGATAAATAAGAAGAGACTGAGATAGATATGAAGAGACTGCGATAGATAGATAGATAGATAGATAGATAGATAGATAGATAGATAGATAGATACATACATATATACATACCGATGAAGAGACTGCGATAGATAGATAGATAGATAGATAGATAGATAGATAGATAGAAGATAGATAGATAGATAGATAGATAGATAGATAGATATGAAGAGACTGAGATAGATATGAAGAGACTGCGATAGATAGATAGATAGATAGATATGAAGAGACTGAGATAGATATGAAGAGACTGCGATAGATAGATAGATAGATAGATAGATAGATAGATAGATAGAGATGGATAGCGTCTATCCGATATACTGAGATAAATAGATAGACAGAAATACGCAGAGACTGAGATAGATAGATAGATAGATAGATAGATAGATAGATAGATAGATAGATAGATAGATACATATTGGAATAGATAGATAATCACACTAAAACGTCAACCAAGAAAAAAATAAATGTATAAATTACAAATATTTATAAAAACAAAATATATTTTCCACATTTTTCAACTTACATTTTGGAAGTGACTTTTTCCGACCTTGTTGATAAAGAAAGGTTTTCTTTTTCAAATGATTTGTTACTTTTTATTTTGGCTGTTTTAATTTTATTTTAATTTTCTTTTCCCTCTTCCTATTTTTCACTCTCTTCTTTTTAATTTTCTATTACAATAAATAAATCGTAATGGATGGAGCAACGCAAATTCGACAAAGTAAATAAATGATCTTCGATGCAACATAATTATATAGTTCATCATTACGCTGAATTTGTCGGTAAAAAGAAAAACAAACATTTCTCTTGAAGAGGAGCAATTAAAAAATATAGAGCTGTTTCGATCAGTGTGATTATCTCATCTTCAGTAACTTTCTTTTCAGTCCTTTCCTGCAGGTCTTCCAAGCTTTTCAAAGTTTTTTTTTTGAATGATGGAATTTTATTGAGAGCTTTTTTTTTTTTTCTTAAATGTCGTTTTCGATGTGTACGATGATTGTTCGAGTTTATTCATTTCAATTTTTAAGATTTACCTGACTTCATTATTCAAACAAATTCCTTCATATTTGTCTTGAACAGCAAAGCGGGTATCCTAAGATTTTCCAATGTCTGTAGATGTTGTTATTCTTTCATTTGGTATTGAAGAACACCATAAATTTTTACTGTTTCCGAAGTTGTTAACTTGTGCGGTCTAACTCCGATATTAAATTCAAGAAGGAAGTCCTTGGAATTTGGTTTCTTGGAGAATGGAGATATCATACAAACGTCCCCAGATCAAAATTCCTGCTTTTCTTTTTTATTTTTTGCAAAATTCCTCTAAACATTTTTAAATGTCCCGATGGTAAAAATTCTTTTTAAAATAAAGACATTTATAAAACTTTAAATCAGAAGTTGACAATTTTTAACGGTTGAAGTCCTTTTCTCCGTCCAAAATAGCGTCAGTTAAAAAAAAAATGGCTAAGAGACGCTTTCCTTTTTAAAACAAACGTGTAAGAAACGCGGTTCAAATAAATTTATTCTCAATAAAATTCTAGTTTAATGTTGTGCTCTAAAAACCCCAGGCCTAATTATAGTGTGGATTTGACCCCTGCCCCAGGTTAAAGTGCAATGTAGGACACCTCCACTTTGTTTTTTTACCTTCCTTATTCTTAATTTAAGAAAACAGTGATTATCTGACCTCATATTCTAATCACACGTTTTTAAAGTTTAATATTTTTTGACATTCACAAATTTTAAAAGCATAAAAATATATAATTCATCCAAAGGATCTTTTCTGTTAATTCACCCCAAATAATGTAAAAAGTTACTTATTGCAAATATTCATCCAAAGAAATTATAAATTTTAAATTAAAATTTATAATTAAAAAAAAAATCTTTGATTTAAAATTTTTAAATCAGTTTGTTTTTTTAATTTTACGCACTTTTTTTCTTTTGAAGTTATGAATTTTAAATCAAAGTTTATTTTTTATTAAATTTTGGGCACTCCTTTGAGATTATGAATTTTGACTCAAAGTTTTGTTTTTTTTGTCACTCTTTTTAAATTATAAATTTTAAATCAAAGTTTATTTTTTATTAAATTGGGAACTCTTTGAGATTATGAATTTTAACATGAAAATTTGTTTAGCTTAACTCGCAACAACTCCAACCCTCAGAATGAAAAATTACCAAAAATCAGGGAGATATTCACATTTCATAAATGCGGATAATATTTGAGTTACTTACAAGGAATTTCTCCAAATTAAAAAAAAAAAGAAAGAAAAAATTGTTTTTATCAAGGGTAAGCACGAACATAGACCCTACACTTATAAATAGCACACCCGAGTTACCCACATTTGGGGCGATCACAAAGGTCAAGTCAACCTGTGTGCAAAGGAGGGGTTTCACTCTGGGAGAATTTGGGGTGAATTTTAGTAAATATAAATTCTTTTTATTTTGGGGTGAATTTTTGGGATGAATTTGTGATGATGATCAACATCACACACATACGCACATACATACACAAATTCAAATTATACAACAAGCATTCATTGGATAATAAATAAACACTACTGTGTAATGAACAGTTTATAAATCACAGCTTTGCGACAATTTTATAATCGCTATATTTTCCTGTAGTCGATTTTGTGCACTTTTTGGAGAATCAGATCCCAGAGGCTTTCTTAGGTCTCCCCAAAACTCGCTCGCTAATTGGTCAATAAACACACAAGTGGGCATTGCAATCCTCCCACGCACATTATATTTTTCCAGCGTGTGACTAAGTCAAGTTTCCTGCCAAGTTTTTTGATCCTGTCACGTGATTACATTATCTATAAATAGCAAACACGAGTTTGCCTCATTCTCTTTTTTCTCTCTCCTTCCTGCGAAGATGTGACCTTTAACAATTATCGTTTCAACTATGACGGTCAGACGTTAAATAATATTTCACCCATTCACGTATGTACAAACTTTTCCAAACTTTTCCAACCTACATTACAAACATACAGAACATTTCTAAACATGCAACTAGAACTTTATTCTTCTAAAACTACAGTTTAATCCAACTTCGTGAGCTCCGATAAAAATATTCCCAGTCTAAGAGACATAACTCCATCAGATCTTTAACTTCTATGCATGTACATCAACACACAAATAAATACAAATGTTATGTTTTAAAACCATTTTGTTCTTTCTTGTATTTCATGCTTTGTAGTATTTTACGTTTAATATAATTTGTGTGGTCATGTTATTCACGCAGCCGTAAACAAACATCCACAATGGTCATTCCTCTTAACATGCCTATGCAAATTTGAACAGAAAAGATCCTAACCAAATATCCTTCAAATGATATTCCCTCATATTTTTAGCTTCAAAATAAAACTTTCATTTGTTTTTTTGTAAACACGTATTTTCCTCTCCACCGATCTATCTACATATCTACTTACCTACTTACCTACTTACTTCAAGCAGTTCATTCATAATTTTAATTCTGATGTACTGTTCAAAAGTTGGGAAAAATACAACAATAAAAAAATTCAAATCAACAGACCTTATCGGTTGAGTTCAATTTCAACAAAGTAGCAAAACTTGTTTGGATTCACATTCTTGATGCCGACTAGACACAAATCAATTGTTGCTATATTAAGAATAAGTTATTTTTAAGCAAAAAGTTTATAACTTCTTGCGTGTGTGTGGGTGTTTTTACACATGTTAGCTGTTTTAAATCATTATCCAATTTTGAATATTACCTCAGATTCATTTTAAATTTTAAAATGAATCTGTGGTAATATTTAAAACTGAATAAAACTTGTGTTGATTAAGGGGCCTAATTTTAAATTTTAAAATTAGGCTCCTTAAAGTTTAGTTTATCTTCACCCACTTCAAGCATAAATTGTGAATTTAAAAAGAATGCTACAAACAATAAATCCTAAAATTAAAATTTGTAAAATAAAAAGGAATCAATAAAATAGATAAAAATAACTTAAAAAGATATTTTATTAGAAAACAAAACAAAAAAATCATACTAGATGACGAAAAAAGTTAAGCTGGTTCATGACCTATTCATCCATTACCATTTACTCATACACCACAAGAAGTAACTCATCGCTATTCGATCCAACACAAACCATAATACCGCATATTCCCAGAGATCCTCTAAAACAGTGCTTCTCAAACTATCTGATATGGCAGGCCTGCATTTTTTTTCAATGTGTCACATACCTGTAATATTTTGTGGTAGTATTAATTTACACCAGAAATGATATATATAATGATTATAATAAAAGTTGACTATTTTTATCTTCCATTTACAGTACTGCTGTTACCACTTTAGGAACATTCACTTCATAACCATCTCCTCTACCATTAGTACTGCTTTTTAACACTGTCATTGTGTTTATTATTGTTATTATTATTATTAGTAGTAGTAGTATCATCCTTTTCATCATGGTTACCAAAACCATGTCATTATTGTCCCTTTTTTGCCATTATACTTTCGTTTCCATCATCATTAAAGCTAAATTTACCATTAACGCTTCAATAACTATTATCAACATTTTAATAATAATTAATATCACAGTTATTATCACTATCAGCATAATCACAATTGTCAACAACACACAAGCAGTTAGTGTTGAAAATACAAACACCATCATCACCTGTCCTGGGTAAGATGTTAAACTACATCCGCATCCTGGGTAAGATGATAAACTATTTCCAACAGCAAGGCCTCTGATCAGGAGGTTTTGAGGAGCATGGAACCACCTCTTTATTGCTGGTGTTCCCAGTTCCACCCTGACCCGTGGTGGTAGCACCTGTTAGGGTCCCAGCTATGGGCAAATAGTTAACCCCAAAACTGAGGTAAAAAGCATTATAAAAGTGTAAAAATAGGTTTTAATACCAGAAATACTTTGTAAAAAATTATTACCAGCAATATATTTTTGAAAAATATATTACCAGCAATACGTTTTTGAAAAAAATAATATCAGCAATATGTTTTTTTTAAAAAAAAACATTACCAGAAATATGTTTTTGAAAAACAAAAACTATTTCCAGCAATATGTTTTTGAAAATATTACCAGCTATACATTTTTGAGGAAAAAATATTACCAGAAATAGATTTTTGACAAAACAAAATATTACCAGGAAAAAAAAAGTTGTTGGCATTAAATGACCGATTGTAGTTGATATGCCGTAAAACAAAAGAAACCAAAGCAAAGCAAACCAATATCAAAACATAAAAAGTAATAAAAAAAATAAACAGTATTTAACACAAAACAAAAATTATATAACTTTAATCTTTATCAATGATTCCTTAGTAAGGCCTGGACACTGGTCATATACCAGAAGCTGATGGTCCATGTACTGGCACTGGTCCGCGGACCATCACTTTGAGTAGTACTGCTCTAAAAGAAAAACCCATGACATGAAAAAATATATACAAA